AGAAGTGAACAGACTTCTACTGTCGTTTGCTATTCACTTCAGTGTCATTTGTTATTTAATGCCACCCAGTGTTCGGGACACTGCACACAAAGATGTATAATTAAGCCTTGCCACAAATTTATGGCCAGACTGGATGCAATATGAATAAGAAAAGACAAAGTAAATGGCTTCACATTTATAAATGTCACAGCACTATTACTTTTTTATCTAAAACTTGAATATCTGTTCAACATTTAGGAGTGAAAATATACCTCAGACTGTCTAAAACACTTATCATCTGAGCCACTGCAGCCAACAAAACAACTTGTACTGTAGGGGGAGCTTTTGTAGATTACAAGATATAATCCCTCAATGTTTAAGTGTTACTTTTGTGTTATGTAAAAAATGTAACTTATTTGCCCTTTAAGTAAACTGTACAACGTTTGCATAGCAGAATAGACTAATGTGTACAGGGGGCAGAACACAATTACTGCTCCTCCCCATGTACAAAAACAATCCTCGACTGGTGTCAGAAACCACATATATTCTCTGTGGTCTAACTTCCACATGTAGAACATCCCCTCCACCCCAGTAGGTGGTACTGTGAAGTTGTTGCAGTGCCCGATTTCTTGATTTTAGTGTAAAAGCTAACTGTTTAAATAAAAAAAATAAAAAAAAGATCTTCAATGGTTGGTATGGATAGAGGATTTACTGTAGCATTATTCTACTAGATACAAAAAACTGCACCCTAAAGCAGTTATGGCTGAGTCAGGGATTTGTTGCTGACTGTTGGACTGTAGCAAAGAGGTTTCACTGTTCTGTGAAGTTGTACAGTCTAGGAAGGTAAGAATATACCCGTGAAACATTATTTGAACATTTTGCACATAGTATTGCATGTTACCCAACACGGTATTTTAGAGTTTATTGCTCTCAGTGTTTATTTGTTTCCTCTAGTGCTCAGATGGACTTGGCTGAAATGTATCTTTTGATGAGTATATACTGTAGTCCCAAGTACTTTGTCTCTTTCAATGAAACTCAATTGATTGGAGTATTTTTCAATAATACATTGGCTTTAAATGACTCTACTGTAGTACGTTTGATCAGTCTTTCATGTTTCCGTGGAAGAAGAAAGAATCCTGTATCTCGTCCTCACCCTTTTGTTTTGTTCTGAAGACAGTGGCTAATGGTTAGGACAAGCATCTGTAATACCAATTAGATAGACATTTCTGGGCTGCACAACATCTGTTAGTTTGTGTCCCCCTGTATAATACTCTGTGAAGCCCCTCAAGGGAGCTGCTGTCATGGAGTTCCAGGTGTCCAAGACAACATGTGTATGTTATTAATTAGTGAGTAGCCACTTGGCTGCCTTTAAAAGCATTTTCTCTTTGACTCCATGGACAAAAATGCTTTGGAAAAAAATAACAGCTCATATACAGCAGATATTTGTAGTTCTGTGTTATAGCAAAAGGTAAAAAGTAACTAAAATAAATTAAAAATAAAATTATATTTTTTTCTGCAGCTATGACGACAAGTTTGATTTGATACCAGTTACCGCCTATCTATTTCTTTTGGCTCTATGGTCTGCCACAAAGGCAAATAACTGACATTTGTTTTTAATAACAAAATATTCATCTGGAAATAATAAAAAAAAAATTCTTCTTTTCTAAACTATTTCTGATGCATACAGGAGTTTAGAACAGGCAGCCTGCCGCAGCTCATAAAACAGATACTGCTCTGAAACACTCCAGAGACCTGTGGCTTGCACAGACACAGGATCTCACAATAAGAGTCTGGACAGTCAGCCCACATCTCCATGCTGCCGTCGGCGCTCATGACAGCTTCCCCTGTGTTCAGGACTGGACTCCAGAAAAAGCCCCCAAGTCCTATTCAGTGTTGGTGTTCCTCAGAGGGCGGATTTGACAGGACCAAACTGAACCCACACACACTACACTTTCCCTGTCAGTGAATAAAGATAGCAGAGATTGTTTTAGGTTTACTCAAAGTCAACTGAATGTTCCTTGCTGGCCCACCAACGTAAAGTAAATACATGACGGCAAACGATAACTTTAGAAGCATCGGCACTTGCCACCATGTTGAAGTCTATTGTTTGTAAAAGGTGAGCTGTAAGTACTCCCTGTGTCATGTCATCCTGATAAGTACTGTAAAGTATTTTTGTCAGTTCTGTCCATGGAGAGCCATGGTAGCGTGTATGACATTTTGGGATTTTTGTAGACATCGCAACTTTCTGTCTTTTTATGCCACATCCTGGATGATAAAATTTAGTTTTGTGATTTTATCTCAACCGATCTTTAGGGTGTCATGAAATTCTTCCTGGGTATATAGTGCCCTGTTTGTGTCCAACTCCCTTTCGTTCCAGAGATGTGGTGGCAGTGTAAAGTCCCTGGAACAAGCTGGCCAAGTGCTGTATTTTAAAGGCTCGGGTTACGTTTGGTACCTTCTGACACATCTCCTTCTTGCTTTTATCCTATGTACTAGTTATTTACATAGCTCGAAATGTCACACAAAAAAGATCTGGGCTCAAGGAGTGACTCTCTTCACCCTTTCTTCTCTCCCTCTTTCTCCCTCAACCTGTTTCTCTCTCTCTTATTATTCAATCAGGCGTGAAACTACCTGTCTGTCAATCTCAAGGGAATAGGCTGACATTTGTACTTGGATATTGTAGTCATTTGCTTGCTCTAAAATACCAGATCTTGAGGCATTGGCAAATATCAGTGCCTTTGATCCCACACTTCAGACAGCATCACGTGATCTGCATTATTCAATCTTTTCATGTCCGGTTTTCTCACCATGTCATGTGGTCGCATGTGATACACAGGAAAGAACCTCATTCGTAGAGGATTAATCTTCAAAACAAATTTAAATGATATGTTGTTCATTCCAAGTGTTTGTTTTTTCCCCTCTATTTACACCAACTGTTTAAATACGGGTGTAAGAGCTACATTTCAGGACACTTTGTGTAAATAATCAGATTAAAATGTGTAATGGATGTTTACACAGTAATAGAATGACATGGATTGTACATCCACTAATTCCATATTTCATTCACATATCATTGATGCTCATGTTATTCGCACACCCTGCTGAAAAAAAGCTGTTCTACGCACTATCCAGATACACAATAATAACTCAAATCCACAATCTGTCTCTTTAGCGATATCTTCATCTGTTTTTCTTGGCTTTTTGTTTTCATAACAATATTCCCATCATTTTAATTAGTCACAAATATAAACAGGTATGAAACATACATCTAGCTGCTGCTACGAGTAGTTATGAATAGAAATGGTCACAATTAATCATGAATAATCGTGATTAATCCACTGCTTTCTAGTATATTATTACATTGAACCTCTAGAGGCCCTAGAAGATTAATTTCATATATTTGCAAAAAGTAATACATTTGGTTTATGAGAAAAAAAGAGATATTTTATTTCTGAAAAATGAATGAGAAATGACATGCGTGATGATGAGTTTGCATTATGCAAAGAGAGACAGAGAGAGGGGGAGAGGAAAAGGCATTTTCACAAATATTAATGTGATAACTGCATTTCCATTAAATCCGTTAAATTAAAATAGTTTTTAATAATTATTAGGTGTCATTTTGTCATTTGTACGGTAGCTATTTTAGATAGCAATTCTCCTCCACCTGAGTGTTAAGAAAGCCCTGAGAAATAACTGGAGGCTGTGTGAAGTGCTCTGTGTTTGCCTCCACAGTTTCATCGACTTTCTCTCTTTTTGTCCAGTCATTTTCTTTCAGTTCTATTGCCGTTCTCTTTTGTGTGTTTTTCTATTTTTTATTTTGTTTTGTTTTTTTCTGAAGCTTTACTTTTCTCTCACTCTCTTGAGAAATTGGAGACATTTTGGTTTTTCCTCTCCTCCTGACCTGTGGTTTTGGGATTCTAGGGTTAGGGTTAGGATGAATATGAAACAACATGCAACGGTGTGTAATTTAGTCATGAGGTGAGTCATATATGTATATATATGACTCACAGCAGCCAGCCTTACCTTCCTCATCGCCACGGGATATGTCACATTATCGTCAATATTTTAAAAATGCATAAAAAAGAATGCAAGAAATTGTGATAAATTGGACAAAAAAAATGTCAAAAATGAAACATTTGGTCACTCTATAGGATGTCCGCGTGGACTGCAGTTGGCTGTCAACCCCTCACAGAGACACTCACAGTCCTGCATCACTTGGATGGGAGGACGTCTGTCATTATAGTGAGCCCATCTGTGAGTAAATGTCCAACAGACCAACTGCACAGGAATCTCTGACCTTCACTAAAGTGGAATAAAAAAAAGCATGCCTGACATTCCCTCATATACGCTGAAATAGGAGGTGCGAGTGACAGAGAGCTATTGACTGCCTTAAATGGCTCTACCTGGACTGACAGACCATTCACAATTTTCCTCTGTGTGAAGCCTAATGTACTAGAGGAGGTAGAGTGTTTTTGTTTGCATGTAGTGAGTGAGTGAAAGGGAAGACTTTATTAGTTTGTGTGTGTGTGTTTGTGTTTGTGTTTAGGAAATAGATATTTGTGTACACTTCTCCAACGTAGGAATTCGCTCTCTTTGTGCTGCTCACTTATGCAGTGTTGTATAGTCACCTCTCCTGGGTTTCTTTTGAGAATTGAAGGAGTTGTGGGTTGACACGGAGGTCAGCGATGATTGAACAGCTCAGTACCTCTGGTCTTTTTTTTTTTAGGCTTTTTCTCATTGTTACGCTGAGTCACTGGGCACACAGTTCACTCAGATGTACAGGTGTGCAGAAGTGTGTCCAGACCAGTGATTACACTCAGGGTTATATGCTACAGAGCAGGGCATGGGCCTTCTTTGTGGTGCAAAAGGACTTGTGCAGTATTGTATACTTATTTTAAGCATACTGAACAAGTTTTTCATTCTGTCCTGTTGTCCTTGTCTGCAGATCTATTTTCTCACCTGTTTTGCGTTCCTGCTTTCATCCATCTCTTAATGTTTTTTTCTCTTTTTTTTCCTTACAGTAAAGTGTGATGAGGCTCTAGCCTCTTCGCTGCCTCACACAGCCTTCACCAGCTCATCTGTTTTTTCCACTGGATATGCACCTGGGTACGCCAAGCTCAACAAGAGAGGAGGTACGACCACCGGTGCACAGACACAGAAAATCCTGCAGTTGTTCATGCATTTACATACAGTATAAATGAATGCTGTACTCAAGGAACTAGAAAGTGATGCACACATGCCTATAAGCATGTGTGCATTTTGTTTTTAATAGTGCGGCACAGCTGCTGTCTCCTCCTTTTTTCCCTCTATCTCTCCCCTTTCTTTTACTTTCCCTTCTGAATTTCTTTTTTTTCTTCTTCATTTTCTCCACCTTTTCTTGCCTCACTCGGCTCCAGTCATTATCTCAGTGACTCAGATGGGAGCTCATTTCCACATCAGTCCACAGCGGAGACAGATAGGGCCAGACAATTACGCCCCTCTATGTTTATACAATTAATAATTCATACTTTTCCTTCTAATATAGTCACACGACAACTGAGGAAACAGAGCTAAGAGCCGGCAAATGAATGCTATGGTAATCTGGTGTGTTTAATCATAACCGGGACTCACTGCTGAGAGAGAACAAGGACACAGTTCCTTTAATCACAACACCTAAAAGACAAAAAGAAGAAATAACAAGGAAAATGTGTGGAGAGGAGGGGAATGACAGGCTGTGTGTCACGGCAATTATGAAGAAGTGTAAATACTCTGCGTGCAATCTTTATTCAGAGACTTTGATTTATTCTTAGCGAATTTGTAAAGTTTGACCATTTGTTTTTATTTTAACTATACAATATAAATGACCCAACCAGGTGATAGTAGTAAAAAAAAAAAAATTGGAGAGTCTGCACTTTAATTAGATCATAATTTGTGCAGAAATCCTTTTTTTTTTCCTCTTTGATTTCTACTAAGGTATAGTTAGTGAACCCTGCACACCTGATATCACTTAGATCACTTCACAGCACATACCTTAGTGCTTCATTACATTTGAAGTGTCTGAAAATCCGACATTTCATCCACCCACATCTCATCATCCCTCTCTCTTCAATGAACAGAACATAATAGTCAAAACCTGGAGGTCCACTCCACTCCACTATTAGACTGAACTGAAGTCAACAATATTTTCTGTAGTCACAGATCCAACAAATGTATAGCCTGGCATCACACTTTAGGTCCAAAGTTGTAATGTGACCTTGAGTGGTTCTGAAAGTCACTCATTGACAAACACAACGTACACTTTGACATTCAATGATAAAATTATCATGGTCATTTTGAAATTAATTGATGTAAATTCCACTTATTTTATTATAACAGCTTATTTTTCTTCATAACTTTCCAACCTGGTGCATTTGTTATATTATAACAATATAACAAGGAATTATGACGTAACACATGGTTATCACAAACACAGTGACTATAGCACCATCTGTCTGCTTTACTACTTTCCCCACGTCTGATGTGAGTATGAGTAGCTGAGTGTTTGAAAATGTGAGATCACAGCCATTTGGCTGCAGTATTGCATGGGATGAACACAGACGAGTGGTGGAACAGAAGGAACGCATCATTCTATAACACTGACACACGTTGCTGTAGCCGGAGTTATTTGGTCATATTTGGTAGAAAACACCTTTTGCTGCCTTGTGGCAAATTTAAGACTAAATACTCAAATGAAATATGAAATATTGTTCTGTGGTCTGTCTATAATTTCATCCTAAAAAACACCCACAGAAAAACCAGTAGATCTGTGTTTACTTAATTTAACAGTACCAAAATGAATACAAATAATTGATATTAAAAAACAGCCTTTTTTGCTGAACATCTAGATGAGTTTGGTTGTGGTAAGTCTCTCCTGCAACTCGTTGAGACTGGCTTTTGATCTTTGAACCAGGAGCAGAGGACCAATCATCTCACAGGATTTACCTGCAACATGCACCCCTCACTAATTACACACCTGGAACTAATGTAACTCACATCATAGTCGTAGGTGCAGAGGAAAAGCACACAGAGACCTAACATGGAGGAACAACTCTGGGGGTAGTAAGTTTGACCCTTTTTTATATATGTTTAAGTTGAATTCTATTTTTGGAGATGTGAAAGATGGTGGAATCAAATCTGGAAAAGATATTGATAGAAGGTTTTGTGCATTTGCTTAGGTTCCCTGTCTGAATGTAACTTATTGAAAGCCTCACTGTGGTTTTATATACCTTTTCTGCCCATGTACAGTAGATTTGTTTATTGTGATGAGTTTGAATGTGCTGATTCAGTGCTGAGTATATTAGGTGGGCTTTAACTCAGCTTGAATATGTATGTCTGTATATTTTACAAGGTTAAGTCTTCAAGTCTGGAGAGGGAATGGCGAGAGCAGGCTTTAAAAATGCAAGCAACACATTCCACCCCCTACTTGTCAAAGCTAAGCCCTCAAACCACATGAACATGCTCTGTCTGACATCTGCTCACAGCAGAGTCTGGAGAAGAGAGAACAGAGAGGACAGCTTTTATTGGCCTGCTGATGCCTGAATTACCTGTGAGAAAACAATTAGCATAATCATGCCGGTGGGGGTCGGTTAGTAGGGACCTGGAGTTGAGTTCTGTTCTTGGTCATGCACGCCCAGGTGATAGTAGTAGTAATTTGTGCAGAAATCCTCATGAGATTGAACCACTAATCAGAAAAACAGTCTTTGATCCTTATATTCCATTTTCATCCATTCGCGCAGCCATTTCACTGTGCAGTGCAGATGAGACCGAGCATGAGATTGAACCACTAATCAGAAAAACAGTCTTTGATCCTTATATTCCATTTTCATCCATTCATCCACTCTCTCTCTCTCGCTCTCTCTCTCCCCTCTCTCCCTCTCCCTCTCCCTCTCCCTCTCCCTCTCCCTCTCCCTCCCTCCCTCCCTCCCTCCCTCCTCCTCTCTCTCTTTCCTTCACATCACTGTCTCCACATCTTTCCCTCTCCATGTCATTCTGTGCATGTGCACTTTCTATTTTCTACTGTAACATTCTCAATCCCACACTCCATTTTCTCAGCCTCCCCTCTGTTCTTTCTCCCCAGACTTCATTACCAATATTTCACCCCCCCAAACCCCCACATTCTTAGCCAAATCCACATTTGGAGAACCTAAACCTGGGTCCCTCCACATTCAGAGGAAATTACAGTGGAAATTCCCTCTGGCTTGCAGGACAATTAAAGATTCCATGCTTTTTCTTTTTTTTTTTCTTTTTTTTTTTTTGATTCTGTCATCTTGCAAAATTGTTTGATGTCTGTAGCCACTGCAGTCATCCATCGATAATTGCCGTCCGATCCTTATTAAATTACTCCATCTCCATCCGCTTCCTTTGCTTCCTGACAGTAAGATGGAGCACTAACAGAGAGCCAACCAGCTGGTTTCTTTCTGTCGCCATCTCCGAAATCCAGCGTCTTAATAAATTACAAAGTTAAACTTTCTGCTAATGCGGCTTTTGGTATTAAAAAAAAGTGGCGGCTTTGATAAACATGAGCTCCCACACACTCTTGGAGAGGCATGAAAGCATTTAAAACTAAATCTGTCATGTGCATGCACCCACTCACACTGACAGTATGACAGAGGAAAGATGTTCCTTTTTCATGCCTTCGTCTGCCACTGTCACTTTTATGTGTGACTTTCATGCCTGTCACGCCTGGGTCCAAAGACTCTGAACTCAGGTCTTGACTTGTCTCTGTTTCAGAAATCTATTTTTTTTTCTTTCTTTAGTTCTTGATGACACATTTTTATTCTCATTCAATCACAGCTGTTGATTTTTTTTCTCTAACTTTTCTTTTGTCTTTCACTACTTTTACCCATCAGTCTGCCTATCCTAAGTTCCTTGTAAATAATTTTCTTCACTTGTACTTTCTAGTTTTAACTGCAAGGCGCCTCCTGCTGTTTCTCCTGCTCCTTTAGTCTCTTGTTCTCCATCATTTGTCCATGTTTTTGTGCGTTAAAAAAAAAAAACAAGTTTCCTGTGGTCTTTTTGTCCCATTTTATTTTTGTCTGTTTGTTCTAATATTTCTTGTTTTACTCAGTGGTGATATCGGTGTGGTTCTTCTGTAACAAACGCTCTAACTGTGCAACTACCATTGTTAAGACGCAGGGTTATCTGTGTCATCACTGATAATTCAGGCACTGTTTTGCGAGCTTGGAGAAACTCCAACCTTGGTCTGTGGCATTTATCTCAAAGCAAGTATCTCTGTGTGAAGTCTATTTGGCTGAAGGAACAGTAGCTTTTCTGTAGCAAATTAATCCCACCTCTAAAATGCTGTTATGTTGAAATACCAACAGTTTTTGTGAAGTTTGGGAAGAAACTGTTGCTTTTTTATGTTGGGATGTGGGGCAGAAGATTAGCTGAAATGGTGTAGTATGTTGTTATTGTCACACACGAAAAAAATAATAATTGTGGATTTTCTTTAAAATTAGATTTAATTTTTATAATAAAATAAAACAGATTATGGACTAATCTGTTGCTTATAATCCTTCAAATTAATATGTTTTTGAAATAATTGTGAGAATCTTCTGTCAGCATTGAGACATCAATTTAACTTTGATTAAATTATGTTTCTTGTTAAAAAAGTAATAAAAACAATTATTAATAAATTAAAGAATGACCTTTATGTAGATTAGTGAGTCATGTGACTTTACAGTATCCAGTATGTGGAGGCCAGCTCACTGTTAATAATGTACCTGACTATAATGCAAAAATGCTCTTTGTTTTGATTAGGTTGCAATTTTTAAAAGAATTTTGGTGGCAGTGTTCTGCCCATTCATACCTCCTTTCCGTTACTCGAGTACGTGAGGTCGCCTTGCTCTCTATCGTCTAATCTCTTTCCTCAGGCACTTGCCTTTTCTCCTTTCTCTCCTTACATCCTCCTCACAGGTGGTTTCTTTGACCTTCTGTGCTCCTCTGCTCTCCTGCGCTCTCCTGCTCCTGCTCCTCTTCTCCTCCCTGAACATCTGTGTGTGACAGGCGAGAGGCTGGTGACAGTCCCACAGCATTCCTCCCACCTATTTCTCTCAATTTTTTTACACTTTAATGGTAATCTTGCTCACCATCTTACCTTTAATTCTATCACCGCTGCCTCGTCTGTCCTCTCTCTATTCTCCCAACCTTCCCCTGCTATTCTCTCTTCTCCCTCCAGCTCTCACCTTTCGCTGCTCCTCTGTTCATCTCTTTATACATTTCACTTGTGTTCCTCCCCTCCGCCCCTCACCTTTTATCTGTTCTTTTTCTAGACATCTACTTCCCTCTTAAGTCTCATTTCACAGCATTTGCCCACCTTACCTCACCAACCTTTTAAAACCAAGATATTTGGCCCAAAGCTTCCTTTTTTATTTACCTTTTTATTTTGTCTCTCGAAAACCCTGTCTTTTTATTGGAACCCTATTGTCTCCAAGGTCATTTAATCTATCCCTGTATCACTTCCATTTGTCCTCCACTTGTTTTCTTATAATAATATGGGAACAGTGACACATCCCATGTTGTACTGTAAGTCATCTGTTGAAAAGTCCATGTGAATTGGCTCATGATAGTAATAAGGTGAACAAACCTCGATTCGCAGAAAGATCCACAAATTCATAAAGAAGAGGCACAAAAGATGACATCATTGGGGTTGTTTAGTCAACATGCTTAAATGTTTGTACTGCATATAAAGACAAGGTTATTTCCCTCTGTGAAAATGTGCAAATGGTTTTCATTATAGTTTATTACTTGATACATTTTTAGTAGTGGTTGTGAAGCAGGCTATATAGTTATACATGAACACTGGACGGTCGCTACAGCTAAGAAAAATCCTATCATTTTTGCTCATGCTCTTATGAAATGTTATCAATGGAAATACCACAATAAGAAAAAAACAGTATCAACATGTCACAATTACCTTACCGATAGATTTCAGAATTTCAAAAAGTATATTTTGTGCATCTCTTGTTTTAAACCTTTATTACTTTCATCAAATACAATATCTTTAAATCTTACTTACTGGAATGTACATTACTACTAATGTACTCTTTAACGACTTCCGTTTCTCTCTCTCACGTTTTTCTGCCTTCTGTTCCTCTGCTGATTTTGACCTAAATTCTCATCTATCACCTTCTTTACTGTCAATCCATTCCCCCCTCTCCACCACTCCATTCTCTCACTTTCCCATCCACATGCTATTTCATTCCAAGCCTCCCCAATAGCAGACCTATAAACCCTCTCTCGACACCCTCACTTCTCTTTACTTCATCCATCGCTTTTACTCTTCTTCATTTCCATTTTTTCTTGCCTTGCCAGTTCTTCAGTTCTCCTGTCAACCCCTCACTGATGCCATACGTACCTTTCAATCATTCTTTTTGGCACAGCGTCCTCGAGTCGTGTTCAAGCCATCACACCGCCTTGGTCAGTGTCCACTCAGCTTGCCTTCTTAATCTCTTTTCTATGCTGTCTGTTTACTTATCACCATCGACCCACTCATCCCACTCCTGGTTTCTTACCCCCCATCATTTTCCACCCTTACCCTCACCCCGTTGCATTTCACACCAGGGGAATGGCTTTGCTACGATGGGTTTTTGAGGTATTGACATTTCCACTGATACAGGTGTGGTTATCTATCAAGGCTTTTGCTATGAGTGTAATGGCCCTGTAATTGGATAAGATATAGGATTTTTGTCAAGGGAGGAGGATACATCCCCCACTGCCTGGCCCTATATTTTATCACATAACCATCATCCCTCATGTCCCTCATCCCTCTTATTACACATTGTGTACTCAATTCCCCATTGTGGACCCTCTTTGTATTACTCTTACTCCATTTCTTAAACATTGACAGGATAAAAAAAAGAGAGCATTTTCACATCTGTCGCTTTCTTTTATGTTTTATTTGAGCCTGTCACTTTTCTGTACTATTCTGTGTAGCTGCCACTGGGAGAAGGATAAAAAAACTCAAATTCAAGCAAGACAGCTGTAACATGACCAGTTGGCTGGCCATCTACCACCAGTTCTTCCTGATAATCATTCCACAGTCACATTCTGTCACACTCAGTCCTTTGCTGCACCGATAAATCTGCAGTGTTTAGAGTCTGCTCTGTTTAGAGTGTGTGTGTATGAAAGCATGCACTCTGCCTTTGTTTTCTCTAGTCCATTCTGGTGGCTGCCCTCTACTATGACCAACATTTACTACAGTTTTGGCATTTTTATCGACTCTTTTATGATGGCAGATGATATCTCGGCACTAGGATCTTGTTCAACATTTTTCTTTCCTTTCTGTTGAGCAGCTGCTCTCCTTTTTTCTGCACCATTTAATCTGTCTTCAAATTTAACCTGTGGAGTCCATGGAAGGTTTGTCTTGCCTTGGGTAGACACCAAGAGGAGTGAATGGGGAACACAGTCCATCTGGCAATAAAGCCAGTGCCATTGTTAGGCCATAAATAATACTGGCAGCCACAACTAGTTAGTAAAAAGAGTTGACAACATAGTCACAGGACAATGACAGAAAGATGACAGAAATATGTAATATTTCTTTTAATAGTCTAGTCAACTTTAATTTTCCTTTCTTTTTGTCCCTCCCCCTTTTCCCTGTTTGGAATGTATTAACTTTGACGTGATGTTCACTTGACATCTAATATATTCCAACTAACAGGTGCCATAAATAAGTTATACATTATCAGTGTATGCTGTCTTATTCTGTTTTGTATTATTAACACAGGATTCTAGCACAGTTTTCTTGTCTACAAGCATCTGCAGATCTCTGTCCAAATCAAAAGACAAATCCTGTTGTAAAGTTCTACACAAAGAATAAATGGTATATTTATAAAGATTAGTGTCAGTCTGAAACTGTGTCACCACATTTGTGTGTCGTGGTGGTGCTTTTGCTGAACTTTTGTATATTTTAAAATGCAACATATTTTTCTGTTAGACTTAACAAAGGCCGTTGTAATATTTATTGGGTCATGATTTCCATCAGAAACTGGATGACGCATTTCTGTGCGACCTATGTCTTTTTTTTCTATTTCAGCTATGATTTTTCTTTTTTATATAGGCCAGAACAACTTAAATATACATGTGAAGAAATGTCTCCACAGCATTCATTAAATATCAGGATATTCTGCATACATCTATAAAATAATGAATTTATTGTAAAATGTTAAAGGTGCAAATCTAGTTTCTCCAGATATTGAAATGAGCGTGACATTATGGAGTGGATAATACATTTCTGAACAAAATGGTCTTTGTGACATCTTTACAGTTGGTAGACACCTGCTCTGTAGGCAAAGGTATTAATGAAATGTTTCTAATTCTGTTCTGATGTAGATGTGGGGGAGGGGGCGCTCTGCTAGACACTGACCGCTGTTGAAAGGGCAGACCATAAGCTTATAATTACACTTCTTTCTGTAAAAAGTCATTATGGCGATACTATGCTGCTTTTCTATCTGCCTTAACCTCTGGTTTAAATCTTTCAACACATAATCTACAGTTTGTGCACCAGCTCTGTGTTTTAAGATGCATGATGCAAAACCAGATAGTTGACCTAAAAAACTTTAGTCTGGGGATTGAATAATGTCATTAGAAGCAAGAAAATTATAATTAAATATTTTCAAGTTTTCCACTATTTTTCTGGCACTTTATTTAAAATGTACTTGTGTGTAATGTAAATTACATGAAGTGTGACTGATAAATAAGTCTTTACCTTTGCAGGTGCTGGTGGTTGGTCCCCTCTTGACAGTGATCATTACCAGTGGCTACAGGTGGACCTTGGTACCAGGAAACAAGTGAGTGCCATAGCAACACAGGGCCGCTACAGCAGCTCTGATTGGACGACACGGTATCGTCTCCTCTACAGTGACACAGGACGGAACTGGAAACCATACCACCAAGACGGCAATATTTGGGTGAGTACACAAGATGGGGCATATTTATTTTAGTATATGGTCACAGAACATGGCCACGGCTTAAATATAAAGGAAAGCCAGTGTGATACTTAAAGGTACAAGTTAATTGAAGTGAAGACCATTAATAAGATTGACCTGAATAAAAATTGAACAAGTTAATTGAAGTGAAGACCATTAATCAGATTGACCTGAATAAAAATTGATAATGCATCCAAAATGCATAGACACTTATTGTTGCACACGTTATTTGCATACATTGCGGGGGGGAAAAACATAATGTCATGAAGAAACTATTCTAATGCCCCAACATATGTATTTTGGGGGCTTCAAACTCATGTGAGATGCCCTAATAGAGTGTAACCAGCCATACTAAGTACAGGACACTTAGCCTAAGGCTGACAAGCTGACTGACACAATTGTCCAATGAATTTGAGGGACCGTAGACCGATTTAGCTTTCATTGTGTTCCACATACCACTGTCAAGATAGCCAGTAATGAATTAATACACAAACTTTAATGACCTATATTTTGGTATATGCTATATAAGTGTGCATAATTTTCTTAATATTTTAAAATTGATTAATTTCATTACTGGGATGTGATTTGGATGAGTCACAAATATTTACATATGGGAAGCATACATGTAAGTGCTGTTATTTTTCCTACTGTTGCAGCAAAAAAGTCATATTTATGTGTTTACTTGATTGATTTATTTAGATTAACATTGATTTATTTAGATCAATAATGATGAATCACTATTAATAACAATTGTGATGAATCCACAGCTATCCTGTGATTACTCTGAATAAAAATTGTAATTTAAAATATTAATATTAAATAATAATATAAAATATTTTCTTAATCTTAACCCTTATGTGAAGCTTTCTTTCCAACCCATTACATACCTTATGTTAGAAGGAACACAGTGTCCAAAGTTGTTCATGAGTGTAACTTATTCTCAGATAACTCTATTCCAGTGTGTAGTGGACAGCGTGTGGTATTCTGACTCTTTATTCTCAGACATTATACGGCTGAATTCTCTTCCTCGCTACATCTCCACACTGTAACACCCGACCCAACAAAACCCATCACTTGAGACTGGCTCTGCATAGTTCATGATAATTAGCTAATGGGTTAATGGTTCCACCATTCACTATTTTTCTCTGGTGGAGGGCTACAGGTGATAACAGATGGGCTCTTAGCTTGTCACCGAGCTCAGCAGAAATCTTTGAGCTGTAAGTGAAGGTGCAACGCTGTTTTTGCGTGAGACGTTATCTCCAGTGAACTCATTCACTCTGTTATTTCTCAGTCCATTGAAGTCAGTTCTGTCAGACATACCCTTGGTACCGAAGACTGGGGTATTCTAAGACGGAACCGGAACATTAGGTTATTCCATTAACATTAATTGGAACCTATTTCATTTTTTATCTAATTACCAATTTTTATTCACTTTGTGAAGTTAAAAAGGTGTATTTTAGTTGTTGTACTTTTGTGCCCTTTCATTACATTCTTTGTCCATTTTTTTATCCAATTTTCACATTTTCTAATTACTAACAATTCCCCCTTCTTTCTGACCTTTCACTTTGAGTCTAGTGAAGTCTTTTTTTCTCTCCAATAAACTGTGTTATAATTAAAGTCACCTCAACAATTCTCATATTTTCAACAGATTTTCACCACCTACTGGTTAATTGCTTGTTTTATTCAATTTGTTCAACCTTTATGCTAGTTCAAAAAGAAAATAAATTACAAGTGCTTATTTTGCTAGTGGACAAATGTTTAATCAAAATAAAGCAGAAGCTCATTTCTAAAGCACCGTTGTGTGCAATTTGCTGAAAAGGTGAACGATGGATTGCAGCAAAGTTTGTAACAGTGTTTAGAGCTGCTTTGATGTAGTATGTTGTGGAAATACCATGGGCATCAGCTGGACAGGAGGCGGTCCTAAGGTGAGTGGCAGCATTCAAAAGAGATTTGAATTGGGACTAGATACTGTAGGATGGACTGGAAACAAAATCAGCAAATTAGAGGAACAGCTGTGGTTGCCTAGGAAATAATGTTTTTGAGGCAGAGATAAGATGATGTGGACATTGAGAGCTGGAGAAAGGTCATGGACATAGTGGACAATACATGTTGCATACAAGGTAGAGCAGACTTTGGATGTAGATGGTTGTCAGTACACGGTGATAGAAAAGGACAGAGCAAGGATGAGATGGAGAGATATGATTGGCTAGGCTTGACCAGTAAGAGTAAGGTACTACTGCCAACCATAGGTTGTTTGTGCATGTGTGTCTGGGTTCACAACAAAACTAGACCGGAACAAGTTTTATAAGCAGTTATGAATAACATTATTAGCTCCAAATCTGTTTACTTAAGCTTGTTTAAAATTAATCACATGATAATGACAGCAGTGAGTACCACATACATCTCAGCAAAAAAATAAACACTCCAGAGAGAATGTTTTTTCAACTGTTTGCCAAAATATTAAAAGCAATGAATCAGAGGTTAGATAAGAGAGTAAACACCTTAGCATAAATATTAATCAGTAAACAATTATGATGAAGCACAAGAAAACTATGGCTTAATTTACTTTAATTTTCATTTGCAGTAGATTAGTGTTTGTCACAACAAACAGGTCAAGCGGCCCTGGCAGTGGTGATGGAGCTAATAGCAGATTAAAACTAAGTTACTTTCTCAAATTAAGGAAAAAGTGCAAAAAAAAAAAAAAAAAATGAATCTGTGAGTTATAGAAACATGTCAGTAGATCATCTTTTGATCCAGAATCTACCAGCTGTCCAGTCAGTTGTTGATGTTGATTACTGAACTGTACACAGTTCAGGTGTGAAGTCACAGACGTCTAACCTCTGTTTTAAGTCCCCGTACTTACACCAAGCCAGTAAAACACAAGTGAACATGCCACCAATAAATGTCCCCAGTGTTTAATTGGACCAAACAAGTTGAACAAGGGCATTAATCAAGAAGGGATTTCTGGCACATCCTGCAGGACAGGAAGTGGAACTTATTGCAACCTCTGTCTGCATAATTTTGCCTTTCACTCTTAGAGATGTGATTCCGGGCTTTCAAAAACCTGCCTTGTTACCTTTTTTGCTTAAAACTAAACGTATCCTGTGCAAATAACATAGCTACTGTTTTAGCTGCCAATATGTGGTGTGTTCAAAAACTAATCTTAACTAATGAAGCAGGATTCGTAGGCAAATACCTCATGTATCCGTGGGTGGACAGTTGAAAAGGTTCTGAATGTCTTCAAATATATTATCTATAATCTTCTTTTGTTTTTTGTGCAGCTTTGTTTTCTCCCATTATTGATGCTTATTTACACTGGCCGACAACATGCATGTTAAGGTCAGGTTAAGTGGAGAAGCTTAATTGACTATTGACTACATTGACTTATGGAGAAGCTAAATTGACTAAGTGGGTTTGTGAGTTGTTTTTATGTCTTCATACTGGACTGGTAACCTTTTCAGTGTAACTCACCTTTCACCCCACGTCAGCTGTGTTTTGTGTCTTACAGGATGTCAAAGGGATGGAGAACTTATTTAACGTTAAGTAACATGTACAGTAGGTGCACAATCTACTGGTTCTGTGCCTACTGTGTACATGTTACTGCATTGTAATGTATGTATTGTAGAAAGGCAGTAGAATGCACACTGTATTTAGTTCACTTGAGTTCAGACTCAGATGATGGATTTAATATAATTTGTTGTGCAACACTGAAGTCAAAACCATCCACAATAAGAATCAACAGGGGACTTCAATAATGGTTTTTGTTGTTTGCCAAAATGCACTCCAGCAATTATGATGATTTATAAACACTCACGAATGCAATTACTTACAAACTCCAGAAAAAGTTCCATGCATTAATGTAGAGGCAGTGACTCACAAGTTAAGAAATTTGCTAACTGGTCACATTTGTCGCTCAAATATTTGTCAGAAAGGCTTTCTGTTAGGCTTTCCCCTCAGATTAATTCAAGTCTGACACAGTGGTATCAGAAAAATGTATGAACATACACCCTGAATAATAACAAACACTAAAATGGTTTTATTTTTACATCACTAGATTACCTTTATATATTATATATTTAAAAAGCTAGTGGACACCGACTAGTATTTTTGACAGCATTAGGTTCGTAACATAATCAGACCAAAGCATTAGTCTTCATTAAGTTTATAAACTATTTTGAGGTGTAGGTGATAATTTATGCCACGAAAGAAAGTCATGGTTAAAATCTCTAACATTAAACAGTTAAACAGAGCACAGCCCATTTATAATTTTAACCCCTACGTCACAGTTTCAATCCTAATACTGGATTAGGAGGTCAGAGTGTGAATAGTCTTTGCAGAACACAACAGATGCATTGTCACTGTCAGTGGCTTTACTTACCTGGTCGACCTAGCTGAATAACATTAAAATGCATTTTTGCACCCAAGTGACAAAGTAGGTCTGTGTGAAGGCTATCATCCAAACAACACTGCAGACCAAACAGCTGAAGTTGCTTCTTCTTCTTTCTGACTTCTTGAAGAGTGGTGTAAGGCTACATGTAAATAGTTTTAGTATTTTATTTGTAAATTAGCAGATAAGAACTTGGTTTATAAAATCAGGCTTTTGTTTGATTCATCTATTAACCAGGTAGAACAAACAAAACACAATTGCCTTTGTAAGAAAAACTGTTGAAAAAATTGTCCTGTTTTTTTTTTTTTTTTTTTTTTGCTCTCTGGTGTAAAAAGTAAAAACATCGAAATATGGACTGGTACATTTTGGCACGTCTGTATTCAGGCATGGCTGTTGTTTCAGGGAGAATAAATATGTGTGGTTGTGTGTGCCCGTGTGGGTGTGTTTCAATGAGAGGCCAAAGCAGCAACACTGTAATACCTTGGGTAAATGAATAGTGAAGTCTGTGTCTCAGTGGTGAGGACTAATTCAGTTCCGGATGCTGCCGAGCGTTCACTAATAAAACATGCACCTGGATTTATGCACCAATGAACTG